CGCAACCTTCGCTCGGAGGTTCGGAGAGTCGTGAGGCGCTGCAAGGATGGGTGGTGGTCGCGGGTTGCTGAGGAGATTGAATCTGCCTCAATGGCCCGCGATCACAAATCGCTCTTTAATTCCATAAAAAAGTAACCTGCAGCGCCACACCTATTACCATCATTAGGGGAAAGAACGGTGATCCAATCTCCGATCCCCAGGAACAGGTTTTCAGATTTGCTGAGCATTTCTGTGAGGTCCTGGGGGAGGGGAAATCCCTCAACTTGGGACAAAGTGGGGATGATGCTGCCGAGGCTGCGGTGCCTCAAATATTGGAAGAAGTCACCCCCTGTGAGTGGCTGGCTGAGGTGCAACCTGTTGAGGAAGTATTGAAGGCGATCCAGAGTCTGAGACCAGGAAAGGCACCGGGCAGAGATGATCTCCCAGGCGAAATGCTGAAGGAAGGGTGGCGTTTGTGCACAGATTGCCCTACATGACATCATAACAACAGTCTGGATCACTGGACAGGTTCCGCAGGATTGGAAGGATGCCCTGGTGGCCCCCCTCTTTAAGAAGGGGGACCGCACAGACTAACAACTACAGGGGCATCTCACTTCTCAGTGCCGGGAAAGGTCCTGGCAAGGATTATTCAACATTGCCTTGCTAGACACGCTGAAGTGAAGCTTGCGGAGCCCCAATGCAGTTTCAGGAAAGGGCTGTCCTGCACGGATGCCATATTTTGTTGTTGTGGAGAGAGTGGAGAGTTTCCCATACCTGGGTAGTGTGCTCATGACCGACTCCGGTTTAACAGCAGAGGTCTCACTCGGAATCAGTCGAGCGACATTATCTTTTCATCGGTTGCATAACGCTGTGTGGAAGCTACCTGGTCTGTTTCTCCGCACGAAGCTTCAGGTCTTCTCAGCCACAATCATTCCCTCCCTTCTCTACACTTGCGAAACGTGGACCCCCCCTAATTGAACATCTTCACCGGTTAGAAACATTTAGGCTGGCCTGCCTACGATCCATCCTGCATTTAACCAGACTGGATTGTGTGAGGAGCTCACAGATCCTTGAAAGATCTGGACAAAGTCCCATCGGTGAGCTCCTCCAGCAGGAAAGGCTGCATTGGCTGGGCCATATAGCCCGCATGCCCAGCCACCGCATGCCTAAACAGCTTTTGCTCGGCCGGATCGCGGGGGCTAAATGGGCGCGGCACGGGCTAGAGAAGAGATGGAGTGACGTGGTACAGGAGGATGTGGAGCTGAGTGGACTTGCCGATGACTGGTACCAGCGGTGTCAACATCGGCCTCTGTGGAGGAGGCTCGTGAAGGATGCTACTGGGAAGTTGGAGGCAGTCGCCCTTCAACAACAACGGAGGGCGGAGGAACGACGCTCACAACAAGGAGCGGAGCATAGGGTGGCTAAAGCAGAGCAAGTTGGCATAGTAGGGGGCACAGGTGGTACATCAGCCAGTCGTCTCAGTCAGTCGACCTGTGGCATCTGGTTCTGCCCCGTGGCCTCCTGCCAGCGGGCGTTCGATACTTCACGTGGCCTCAAGGGGCACATAGCCTGGCCCAAGCGTTGTGGTGACGTCACCGCCACTTCGTGGCTAATGGCGGTTGTTGTTGTGTGCGTACGTGCATGCAAGAGTGCGTGTGTGCGCGTACCTGTGTGCATGATCGCATATTTAGTTTTGAATGTCATGACATTCGATACCTTTAACACATACCTACCTTATTTCCACTACTTGGCCCTAACTTTGATATCACAAAAGGCCACCTTCAACGACTGCAATGATCAGCGGCAAACCAACTCGATAACAGAAATAATAATAACCAAAATGATGCCATTATGGGCCCAGAAGACATCACCGATTCTCAGGGACTGCCTGTTCCTCAAGCGGGTCCTGCGTTGTGATATTTGAGGCGGGCGATGCGATCAGCGTTTGGCTCCACGAGGGAGGAAACCGGAGGAGACCCAGCGAAAACCCACCACGCGGTAACAACGGTGGACCCATCCTCAGCACCGCCACCACCTCCTTGTCACCCCGCAGCTCCACGCCTACGACACCCGGGTGGGCCCGGCGGCCGCAGATCAACGTACGGACCAGGCTCTGCTCAGCCCCCGCTTGGCTGCCGGCAGGCGATGGGGATGGGGTGCTGTCTCAAAAACGTTTTTGAGGGCCACAGGGGGCGAGCAAATCGAATATTTTTTATTGGCCGCGTGGGAGGTTGTAAGGATTCCAGGTTTTTCGACTCTGCTGTCTTAATAATACAGGTGAAGTCTCCAGACCTCAACCAGCGAGAGTGATTGAACGCGAGAGATTAAAGAGACACCGCGGTAGGGATGGCTCTCATGCCAAGGGCACGGGCAACGCGTGCGAGCGCACCCACGGTTCAAACAAAGCCTCTGCGCTGCCTTTAAAATCCACCGCTAGTTCAAATCCGACGCTGCAGGGGGTTACGTTTTACCCATTAAGTCAGCCGGGTACTATATATGCGCAAGCCTTGGTGAGCCTATGACTAATGTATTTTATAACATCTCGCCAAGGTAACGCTAAACATTTAAATGTCCTAACAATACTTCACATGTGCGCGATAAAATCTGCCGATGCTGGACTCGATAAAAAAAACACTCATTTTGATGGCGGGTTGGGATTTAGAAACGTCTAGGTGAAATCGCCATGGGTGGAGAATATCTTCTTGGCGAGATCTGTCCCTACCCATGCTGGATTCGAGTAAGCCAGAAGATTGTCAGAAAAACCTAAAGCAGTAGCAGTCGTGGTAGTTAGCAACCACGCGCCACCGGCTGCTTTCACGCAAAATAGTAAAACACCGGTGTGCTGAAGTGGTAACTAATTGGCACGTTTTGTTTACGTGACAAACCTTACTGTTTGGCTTTGTCGGGTGGTGGTGGGTAAACGAAACATTGATATTTATGCAATATAACAAACAAACAAAAACCTTGATTATCAGCCACGCACACCTTTGTCTCCCCATTGCTGATGTTTACACGTCACGAATTTGCTCAGTTTAAGGCCTAGTAGATCTAGGAGAGGCATAGGATTTTTTCAGATATCACTCGCAACTGGCTGCAAGCCGTGGGCAGAAATATGGCTCAGGTCATTGGATTCATAGTGTGCCAATAACTGTGCCAATAACTGTGCCACCACTCTCCATAAACACAGACGCACACAAAAAAAACACAAGCACGACTATCTTCACGGGATATCAAATGAAGTTCAGCACAATACACAAAGTGTGCTTATGTATGCGGAAAGGGTTATAAAGGGAGTTTTACTATCTCACAACCAAGACCACAACGAGCGTATCTGTCCCATCCTTGAATGCCACCATGGTGATGCACTCAGCATTTGCGAGCGGCTAAATCATGTGGAAACAAGACTCTTCCGTTCCTCCTGGGAGTCTCTCTATGTGTGTATGTTGAACTTCCTTCGCATTGTATGTAGCCAACCGTGCTAGTCGTTTGGCTACGTACGGTGTGAGAACATGAGCCCTACCACTTTGAAACGGCCCACATTATATTTATCCATCGGTGCAAGCATCTCAGCAGCACTAATCGGATACTGGAGGGGTACATTTTGTGCCCGGAAACAACTACTGTGTTTCTAACTTGAGTGCGTTCGAGTCAATTCTGTACCTACAAGGGGACTATTGCAGTGGCAGTACTAAATGTGGTGTGTGTGTTAATGTGTGGGGAGCAGTGGTGCAGCAGTTAGCGCGCTGCACGATGAACCTAGCATCCCGAGTTCCATTCCGGCTCACGGCCAACACCAGTGACGATTATTTAAACCGGTCCTGGGCCCCCTCTAGGTACACTCAGCCTCAAATAAGTATCTGATGCAGTGTGTAAACATCGCTGTGAAGGCCTTCATAGGTGCTCGCTAACAACAATAGCTCCTTCCATCTGTTAAGACTCCACGAGGGGATCTTTGTCTTTGAATGTGTGGCCTACCACACGCATCTACACGTCCTATTTGTCCCTCAGTTTGGGCAAGGTTCCCCACTCCTGATTTATAACAACAATGCCATTATAATATCCCATGAAAACTTCGCTGAGCCTCAAGACCTCTAAGCAGGAGGGGGGGGGGGGGGGGGGGGTCCTGCTGCGCATTCCCGCCGAACTCACGCCACTTAACGTGGAGGATTCAAACAAGTTAATTGGATGACCATAGGTGGTGCGACGAATGATTGGGGTCCACGCGGGCGCCTTCCCGACCTCTCATCACAACACGAGCGGCGGCGGCAGCGGCGGCACGCATAGCGCAGCGCAAGCAACGGAGAGGTAGGCCAGCGGGCTGGGAGTGAGTTGGCTCAGACAGGTTGGAGTGGTTTTTGGCAGGGGAGGGGGGGGGGGGTTGGAAATGATGGTTTCGAGTAGGCCACCGCGAGTTGATAAACAACTCCGCCGGCTCGGGATCGCGCTTAATGAGCGTCGCTGTAGTTGCTCTGGATGTCACTCTCCGAGAACCCCCCACGTTAACAAAGCTGCACAGAGAACGGGGGGCTTTCACCGTCGGAACGGGACGCTGTCGTGAGGGGCAGCCCTACTGACTATCGAGACAACCGCCCGCAGACGCAACCTTGAGATGGGGGGGGGGGGATGGAGACGGTGGGGGGGGTTAGCGAGGGGTTGGCGGGAGGTGCCCGAGCGGCGAGCCAGGCGGCGGAGATGACGGTGAGAAGGCTGCGCAATTGCCGTCGATCCCACGCGCGAACTTTTTGGCGGGGCGCGACGGGGCGACGTCGTGGGAGTGGCACGAACACCGTGAAAGGCGGCGCGCGCGCTCGACGGAACTCCGCGGAGCGCTCGCGGCGAACAAAACCCACCGGCAGCGGCTCGCAGTGCCTGGCGATGGCGCTTGCGGGGGCTGACGGTGGGGGGTGGGAGGGAGGGGCGGGCGGGCGGGCGGGCGACGTGACATCGCGTGCCGAAGCGGCGCGCGCCCGTTCCACTGCGCCCCCGCGTGTGGTCCCGACGCGCCGAGCTGTCCAAATTACTTGGCGAGCCGTAACGCTGGGAAATTCGTGCCGTCGGGTTTCCGTGGCTCGGCACGGCAGGCCGCTCGGCGCGATCCGTTCTGGAGGAGCGACCCGTCGAACGCGTCGGCCGAGCAGGAACGTAACCGTCGGTGACCGCGGTGACGACGACGATGAGCTGCCCGACAGCTGGTCCAGAGACCTCCAGAGAAGGCTGAGGAGGATGGATTGGGACAGGGAGATGGGAGAGGAGACACACAGGAACTAAACTGAAACTAAACAATTTATTTTTATTTTATTTTACCACGTGAGGCCCGCTGAGCTACATGGTAGCTCTGTTTCACAAGTGACCTGGCTACCACAAATGAAAACTCGACGAAGCGGCTGATCATCGTGTGGAAATTTATAGCAGCCAAATACTCTAAACGCACGTTGATTCTCAATGCGGAGGAACAAAACCGGAGGACCGGGAAGAAAAATCCACGCGACCACGGGGAGAGAAACAGAATCTGGATCGAACCCACGACCTCCTGTATACCAGGCAAGGTAGTTAACATCTCGCCACTGTGGCGGGCACGAGGCGGAGATCCCACAACCCAGCACCTGCCCAGACTCCTACGAATCAATTTCTCTACGGTTGTCCCCTCGTCCCCCACCTACGATTGGCAGAACCCCAAGAACTCTTGAACCGGCTCCAGAGAGGCGATGCCAAACGAAGGGAAAAGTGTCTCCCTGCGAGCCCACCTGTTCCACAATCCGTCTGCAGAAGAAAAAGTAAAAACCCTCCCCCGCTCCACCCCGTGCCCTCCCCCCCCCCTGACAAAAATTTAATCTGATCATACATGCCGGTAATATAAACTGTGTCAAAAAACTGAAAGGTCACGGTGATGGTGATAAGTTTGTTTCGACTTATCAGATGCATTAAAGCAAAAAAGTTATGGGTTCTCTGTTCATAATTTCTGTTTAATATTGACGTTATTAGCAACAAGAAAAAAAATGCACTAAATTTATAATGTGTGTACAAGGATTAGGAATACAAGGAAGTATGCAAACTCTCTCTGTCGGTAACAAAATGACAAAACATTAAACAATAAAATGACTGCCTATGCCCAGATCACCTTGAATATGCCCAATTGAATATCTTGGAAGCTAAACAGGCTTTAGTTTGCTTAGTACTTGGATGGGTGACCACTGGAGCTTGCCAGGTGTTGTAGGCATGGGGCTGCGAGGTGATAGCAGTGCGGAGTATTACCCCGTCGTATGCCATGTGGGGTTTACCTCCGGGTGCTTCCGGTTTCCTTCAACATGAAGCTGAAAGCTCATTCATGGAATTGGCAAAATATCTCAATCAAATGAGAGTCTCTTCGGAAGCAGTCTTGAAGACTCAGGGTGACACAACACCCATGATGACATCAATGACCAAATCACCTGGATCAGCGCCCGACCTCCTCGCCCAAACTCACGAGCTCAGCAGATTTCAGCCTGGATAGTGCCTGGATAATATAATAATAATTCAAATTTATCATGCGCATTCCATCCTCGGATCCCAATGCGAAATGCGTGGAAAACAGGGAAACAAAAACAGAACCAGAGCCACCGACCAAACTAAGGAGGAAAGGAAAGTTTACAGAAACGGGTTTTCAAAGCAGACGCAAATATATCTACCGACTCTGATTTCCTGATTTCGAATGGCAAGGCGTTCCATAGCTTGGGTGCCACGCTTACAAAAGGTCGATCATCAAAAGAGCGCAAACTTGACCTGGGAGTGCCGAGCAGTTGGAGATCGGAAGATCTTAAGGACCTTGATGGATTATCTAAATGTATTAGTTCCTGCAAGTAATGTTGGGGTGAGCCCTTTTAAAGCCTCTCTCCCTGTGGTTGCATGGATTTTTCTTCCGTGTCCTCTGGTTTTTTTCCCTCCACATTGAGAACCAACAAGCGTTTAGAGTATTTGGCTGCTATACATTTCCACACGATGATAAGCCGCTTCATTGCGCTGTCATTTGTGGTGGCCAGGTCACTTCTGAAAAATAGCTACCATATAGCTCAGTGGGCCACATGTGGTGCAATAAAAAAATAGCTTAGTTTCAGTTTAGTTTCTGTCTAGTTCCCGTATCTCCTCACAGGCTGCCGCGGGACTGCGGAATTATCTATTGAGCAGCAAAGGCCAGTCCGTTCTGCTACTTCTACGCTAACCACATTTCCCCACCTTCGCCGACACGCACTTACCGGCGCGGTGCAAGCACAGCCCACGTGACCCCCGTGGCGCAGGTAGGCCCTCACCCAGCAGTGGGTTGACACGAGGGCTGAGGACGTACAAGTGAATCATTGCGATTGTTATTACAGCAGTTATATTCTCCTAGCGGCAGTACAGCCTGCCTGGAGAGCCGAATGGAGTTCAAAATAACTGACAAACACCTTGTGCAAAGAGCCGACGCAGGAGAATCCTGGGTTTGATCTTCCACAAACCTCATGGTCCATCCACACAAACCATGGCAGATGCGGATACCTGATGCACAAATGGAAGATTAAAAACTCTCCAGTGTGCGACTGTGTGCCGCCCAGAACAGACTACACAACATATAATGACGCAACGCCCGATCTACAAATACGAAGGAGACATCAGAGCGACGATACACTACTCCTGATGTGGTCGGCGGGGTTTGACCACCTGAATGTGAAATTGTAGCCGTTGCTCCTTCATCCACATCAGCAGCCGTACATAAGGAGTATACAGCCCGCCACGCAAACAGGGCCACGGGGCTTCAACGCAAAAAAAAAACTTTACAACGCTCAGCCCCGACAGGTTTGCATGGGGTAACGTGCGAGCGCATGTGTGCGCGCGTTTCACCCAAGGGTGCGCGCAACTGCATTCAATTACACGGCGATCGTCCACTTCCCAGGCTGATTGATAGTGATGCATATAACTATAGGCACGTATGGCATCTCATTAATGCCATGATGAATGAAATGATAATGTTCTCTGGGCCGCGGGTGACGGTTTTACATGTGCACATGCTTACAATCGCGCGCGGAGAAGCGAGCGCTACGCACGCGAAGACGTGTCATCGTCATTAGCATTTTATGAACAACACGCATATACGCTTGACAGCTCATCTGTAAACATGCGACCGTGAGCTCGTGTGTGCGTGCAAGGGCCAGGGCTCGCTTAACAAAGGTTGTGCATTACGAATCATTAAAACACATGTCTTTTGCCGAATAGATTTATGTATGCATGTGCTGCGTGTAATAACGAGCGGTGTAATTAATCACCACGATTTAATGATTCGATTCAAGAATCGTGTCTGTTTTTTTTCTTACAGCGTTGTGGTGAACGTAGTAGCCACTAGCAGCTATGACATGGAGCAATGGTGGCGAGATGTTAACTACCTCGCCTGGTGTCGTGGGTTCCATCCCGACCATGGCGCCTGCTGTATATTTGGAGCTTTCATGTTTTTCCCGTGGTCGCGTGGATTTTTCTCCGGGTCCTCCGATTTCACCTTCACATTTAGAAACACGCGAGAATTTGGCCGCTATAAATTTCCACATAAGGCCACTTCATTGGGCTATCATTTGTGGCCAGGTCGCTTTTTAAAAAGGGCTAAAATAGTTACGTGGATATACGAATCAAGATGTATTCTTACACAGGTGATTCGAAGTATATACTGTGTGCAGAAAACTCTCTCCGACATTAATTTTAATTCCATAACCATTGAACAAACTAAAGGAACTAAGTTCAAAGAAAAACGTATATTTTACTCTCGCGATCTCTGTTGGACTATGGGTGGAAATCACAAGTTGGCCGAGAGTAATTTAAAGCCTGGCGGATTTTTCTGTCTTGGCGCGGAGATCTGCCAAGCCTTAATGGCCCCAAGCCTAAATGTGAATTGCAATTTATACATTTAGCATTGCACCACTTTCGCTTAGACATAGTTATAGTATGAAGCGTGTTCTAAAATAGGAAAAGGCAGCTATAGTGGAGACTAATGCACGACGTACAAATATTATTTTTTATAATCGACTTAAATTTTGACGCGAAAGAGCACAATTCTGCTTGGTATAAACGACCAGGTTGGTCATCTGCTTGCATCCCAATATAGTAATCATGAAAAAAAAATATCTTAACAAACCCAATTGTCCTATAATAATTAGATTTTTTCTAATTCATACGAGGCAATATTTGTCAATATTCGCTCATTTGTGAAAGCTTCCAGTTCAGTGTACTAAAACTTTGTTTTAAGCCCACGGACCAGTCAGCCGATGTAAACATTTCCGCAGACCACGCAGCCCCTCCACCCCTGGTGATAAAAACGCATTCACTTCTCTCTCTAAATACCACTCGTACAACATTATTCATATTACCGGAACCCAAAAACATTTTTTTTCAATGCAGCTATAAGGTTTTCTTTTAGGGTGGGCATTTAGATTTTAAGTTTAGGGTCGTTTAATCAGGGGGGGGGGTTTGTCTAACTTCATTATTAATTTTAATATCGTAAGCAAAATATTAATGTCCGAAACAAAATGTATTATTATTATTATTTCAGGATCGATCTGCATTTGCATCACAGTGCCGTGGATCACCTGGAGGAATCTCACGCCCCATTGGTCGGACTAGGGACCGCACTTTGAGAACCACTGCTCTAGCCAATGAACTCACCCCTATAGCACTGAGAGCAGGGGTGGGCAGCCTGTGATCCAACGGGGTCGCGCGAGTCCCCCGTGACTTCGTTTCACATGACGAGACCTAACAACTTCGGAACGACATTTATCCATCGCTGCAATCATCTTAGCTGCACTAATCGGGTGCTAGAGGGGAAGGAAATATCATAATCTTCTTTGGTTCTTTCGGTAAAGTCACGTAGAATAAGAATAAAATAATAAATTGATAAAATAAAATAACACAATATTCTCACGACGTTTCGGCCACAACACAAGCGGCCTTCATCAGGTGAAGGGACGAGACAGGTGAAGGGACGAGACAGTCTCGTCCCTTCACCTGATGAAGGCCGCGTGTGTTGTGGCCGAAACGTCATGAGAATATTGTGTTATTTTATTTTATCAATTTATTATTTTATTCTCATTCTACGTGACTTTACTGAAAGAACCAAAGAAGATGAATCCTTGCAGTCACGAAAGCTTTAAATCAAAATTTAAATATTATAATATGGTGCACTTATGCCATTTGTACTCATGAACTTTATCTGTTTTATTTATTTTTAGTCATTTGCTTACTTTTCTTATTCTTTGCACTTCTTATATTTTGCACTCGAATAGTTTTTTGTAATGTTTTTAACTTTCTGACCCACCCCTGCTGGACATCTGTATAAAAAGAGCTTCATAGCTCATCGGATTTCTGCAGGATAAATAAAGATTCTGACGATTCTGATAAAAATTCGGAATATTTTTTTTACCTGGCAACACCCTCCGTGTTTGCACTTGATGTGTGCGCACCCCGTCACTTCTACCAGTACAAAGGGGCTCTTGTGATGACAGAGCGGCTCGCAGAGCTCATTTTTAAAGTCCTGATCGGCCCTCGGTGAGGTTTTCCAGCCATGATCTCGACCAGGGGGTCGGCAACCTGCGGGCTGCGGAGCCGGACGCGGCTCTTTGGGTGCCTGCTTCGTCACGTTCCACCACCGTCTCTCGTGTTCACCACCACAGTGCTTTGGAGCTCTTGAAAATATAAAAAAATACCCAATTCGAAAAAAAGGCTCTTCTTGTTGTTTTGGTTGCCGACCCCTGATCCAGAGCCACAACAACAACAACAACAAAAACTCCGTGGCTTTGATTAAACCCTTCGATGAAGCCTGCGGTTCCAAACAGCTTCGTAATTTAGCGCCAGAGTGCGAATAATTGTTCGTCTTACATGAGTACATCCGGCTCGTTTCGGAAACCCACTGTAGGTGTGAACTCGCACTAACCTGGCGCATGGCATCAGAGAGTAGAGACCGGATGCACCTCTTGACAAAGCGGCATATTCCCCTTGGGCTAATGCCACCTGCGTGCGAGAACACACGCCAGGTAACCAGTGCGAATATTTATTTCGGCCGTTGCATTTAACGACCGATACATTTCCAATGAAGTGGAGTGGTGGTGCAATAGTTAGTGCACTGCAAGACAAACCCGGCTATTGGAGTTCAATTCCCCACCCTGGCTAGAATCATTGGCGAATGATATCTGGACCGGTCCTGGGCCTCCCCGAGGTTGATTCAGCCCAAAATGAGTTCCTGGTGCGGTGTGTAAACACTCAGCACTGGGGAGATGAAGTTGGTCGGGGGCGTGGTGTTGGTCACGACCCACGCTGTTGAGTGCTCTGCCGACCTTAATTGATGCTCGCGAACTTCCCTTGCCCCAGCAGTCTAAAGCTTCACGGGGGATGTTTGTGCATTAACATATTGTAAATTTCAATTATAAATAGCCTCCCTACAACTGAATGCAGTACTTGGTATTATGTGTAGTTTAGAATGAATGAGCCTGATCATCACCAACATGCATTGTCCAACAAGGCGAAGTATGGTCAACAAACTCCCATTGTCAACACAGCGTGGCAAGGCCTTCATCAAGCAGGGCATTGACAGAGCACCGGCACATCATTATCATCATATTAATGATACATTTTCAACTGAGACCCCCTTACGTGCCTTTGCACAGCCAACAGACCTGGGCGGGCTGGGGATGGGATGAGTGTCGTCACTCATTGCGAATCGCAAACCCACAACGCAACCGTAGTGTCAGCTCACGGTGCTCGCTATGTTTGCAATCAGAACTGACCCCCCCGCTCCTCAAGGTCCACACGCCACGTGTCTGCGTCAGAACCAGGAGCTGGAACAGAAGGGAGGGGGGCCCCCCCAAACTACGTAAACGCTCGTAAACCCGAGTCACCGGCGCAAGCCCCCATCGCCGCCGTCAGCTTCTGGCCAGGGGCGAGACAGACGATTGCGTGCCGATGAACCCTCACCTGGTGCTGCTTTCCACAGTGGCGGCAACTTCCGCGGTCACCGTCGTGGAGGCGAGGGAGCAAACGCCACGGAGCGCAAGCGGCTGGGACACGGAGGGGGGGGGGGTGAAGCAGAGCTCGTCGTAAAAAAACACCGAAAATATAAATCCGCGTGGTCACTCTACCGCGCTGGTGGGCTGCGTCGTCAAGGGTCGGCTGCCACAGAAGGCCTCCTCCAGCCTCACGATGGCTGCCCGTCGAACAAAGACGGTCGCCGCGTCGCGTGCTTTCAGATGCTCTTCTGCGGCGGTCTGGGACATATGCACGCATGCATTTTGAACTTCTTTCGCACCGTACGTAGCCAACCGTGTTAATCGGAGGTGCGAGGAAAGGACAACAAAAAAAGAACGCTCTACATTATGAGACCTCCTTTGCCAGTAACAAGATATAGGAATAGGTTTTACCCTTTTAACTGGCACAAAAACTGACACCTTTATTCAAGGCATCATGTTTGCAATAACCATAACACAAGCAGTCAAAATGCCAACAAAAAAGACAACTCTGATAATAATATGCACTGTCCTTGAATTTGATTGGTCCACACCCGATGCGGATTTTCTTAGAGCCTAGTCTCCATTGGTGTTGGACCAGAAGACGCCAAAAGGCGTACAACTCAAAAAACAGCGCACTATCAGAGTATTGAGGGCTCGGGGTGAGCATTTACATTATGAGACCTCCTTTGCCAGTAACTAGGCTCTAAGAAAAGCCGTCTCGGGTGTGGACCAATCAAATTCAAGGACAGTGCCAATATTATTATCAGAGTTGTCTTTTTTGTTTGCATTTTGACTGCTTGTGTTGTGGTTATTGCAAACATGATGCCTTGAATAAAGGTGTCAGTTTTTGTGCCAGTTAAAAGGGTAAAACCTATCACTATAAGAACGCTCTTCCTCCCGATATCAGGAAGCCACTGGGAGCTGTGTACTTTTCAATCATCTAGATAGGGAACTCATTTTCTTTAGAGCTGCTTGTTGCCCTTCCCCCGCACTGTTCGATTAGCACGGTTGGCTACGTACGGTGCCAAAGAAGTTAAACGTACGTCCACACGCACAGGTCTGTAGCAGCGGTACGACTATTGGGTGCGCGAGAGCCCTCGAAGCGCTTCACTAGACCCGCCCTCGCCGGGTCACCCTCCCCTTCTTATTCTTATTCTATCGCGTGGCAAGGTGATTGGCAACGTTCCATGTTGATGTCGAGGATCGTGAGCCGGCGGAGGCCTAGCGGAGCGGTGTTGGGAATGTCTTTGGACACCGCCAGTGACTGCGAGCGAAGCGCCGTCGGGCATCGCTGGACGGTGCGTTCCACGCTTTGGCTGTGATAACCACAGTCGCAATGTCGGTGGGGGGGGGGGGGGGGGGGGGTGGGGGGCTGATGTTTGGTATGCATCGGTGTAAAGGGTGTTCAGATGCGGTTCAGAGCTGACCACGTCTTCCTTGGTAGGTGTTTCCCTTCGTGAGTTTCCACCCGTCTTGAATAGTACACACCGTACCCATTAACACCTGTCAATAGTACACACCGTACCCGTTAACACCTGTAAATAGTACACACCGTACCCGTTAACACCTATCAATAGTACACACCGTATCCGTTAACACCTGTCAATAGTACACACCGTACCCGTTAACACCTATCAATAGTACACACCGTACCCGTTAACACCTGTCAATAGTACACACCGTACCCGTTAACACCTGTCAATAGTACACACCGTACCAGTTAATACCTGTTATTCCTGGTACATACCTGCATGCGTCTGGATTTGCGAGTAAAATTTTCCTTCACTCGGCTCTTAGTGCCCTGATATAGAGACATGTTCATTATAGAGACATGTTCATTGCTTGGGCAATAAAAGCAATATTTATTTTTAATTCTCAGTCTGTGAAATGTATCTAAATTAAAGTTACACACCATATTTAATCTGCTGGGTGATTTTCTGTCCATTGAATGGTGACCAGGCCCAGACTGTCGACTTGATGGATGTGAGAAGGTGGTTTCACCAAGGAATTTGGCGGAAATTCGGATTCAAACCCAGAATATGTCAGTGATTCCAGTCGAGCAATCTGACCCCCCCCTTAGCCACACAGCAATACCCCCTGACCATCCCCAAGTCTCCTCCCGGCTTCAAGCGGTCGATGTGGAGCTTCACTTCCGAGACTCCGCTGCTGACCCTTACCGGTGGTGAGTGGGATCAGGTGCACGTTACTACGACGCTTGGTCGCGAGAGAATGAAAGTGGCATGGGGAGGGACAAGGGGGAGGGGAGCGGCGGCGGCGGCGGCGGTGGCGGCAACGACGCCAAGGTGTGCTCAGCGAGGCACGCCAGCTGCCTGTCACGCACCGGTGTTTAATAATCCCCCCCACCCCACCGCGCGACACTGCGTCACCGTACAAATCACCCGTAAATCGGCAGTCATAAAATGCTACAAAGGGTGGCCTTATCCCGAGGCCTGATAGCATCGTGGCTGTTAGCGATGGCAAGCAGTGCCGCCATCGGCCCTGCTGTCTTGTTTTCTGCCACCGGTGGTTGCCTGGGTCCCAGCCTGCGGAACAGACACAGGGAGCCTTTCATCCCCATTTGCCACCAAGGGCTACATTTATGGGTGCAGGTTATACAGGGTGTTTTAAAAATAAGGACACAATTTCAAAGCAGTTAATTTCACGATGGCAACAGGTTACAATTACACAAAAAATTACAAAGGGTTTAATGAGTTATCAAGTCTTTGCTAACCATTTTATAAATTCTCTATGTGCCCTCCACCTGCTGTACGGAGAACATCGAGACGATATTTAAAAGATTTCCAAAATTCTAAACAAACACAAGATCCAGGTCCGGTTCAATACAGTACACAAAATTCGTGATCTGATCCCATCCGTGAAGGATGTCATTCCTGATTTACAGTACCCCGGGGTTTACAAATTGAGTTGTACCTGCGGTGATTGCTACATCGGTGAGACAAAGCGACATGTCTCTGACCGAATTCGCGAGCACAAATCAGATTTGAAACACGGCAAAACGAATTCTTCTGCCGTGGCTGATCACTGTTACAACACTGTGGGGGATCATGATATAATTTTCTCCGATACCAAGGTTCTTTGCAAACCCACGGGCTTTTATCAGAGATTTGTTCATGAAGCAATTCAGATCTACAAACACAGACACAATTTCAACCGAGAGGATGGTTTCAAATTAAGCAACCATTGGAAAGATGTTCTAAATCGAACAAAACATTAAACTAATTTCAATGGTACAGTAGATTTTTCAAGTAGTGGTACCCCAAACTTTCGCAGCTCTTATAAATTCCCCCTTTTCATACCATCAATAGGTAAACTCCCCCCTCCCCCTTCCCCCCCCCCCCCGCGCCAAACTGCGAGTCCACCGGTACGTACACCACCTCTTTCCTAAAATCCGCCAATCAAATGCTAGTCTTTATGCTAATTTCTTTGTCAGAACACCTTGTTTGCTCGCACACAGGTCCGATGTCTGAGCGTGGTTGTGTTTCGCTAAATTATCCTGTTTGATGAGTACTAGGTGCCTCGGTGAATGTATATGCTCTAACTTTAACATAGCTATTTCTGTGACCAGTTACACGCTAATCACTCAGCTATTTCAATGCTAAATTCGATGCTAATTCCTTTGTCAAGGGGTACCTCTGCGGATGTGTATACTTTAACTTAGCTATTTCAATGAGCCATTTCAATGCTAAATTATATGCTAATTCCTTTGTCAAGGCACTTGGCCTTTTTCTTCTCACACAGCTTAAAGGTCGTGATCTAAGCGTGGCTTCTTCCACTCCAGCGCAAATTCCTTTGTCAAGGGGTACCTCTGCGGATGTGTATACTTTAACTTAGCTATTTCAATGAGCCATTTCAATGCTAAATTATATGCTAATTCCTTTGTCAAGCAGCGCTAATTCCTTTGTCAAGGGGTACCTCTGCGGATGTGTATACTTTAACTTAGCTATTTCAATGAGCCATTTCAATGCTAAATTATATGCTAATTCCTTTGTCAAGGCGCGTGGTCTTTTTCTTCTCACACAGCTTAAAGGTCGTGATCTAAGCGTGGCTTCTTCCACTCCAGCGCTGTCCTCCAGACAGTCTCGTCCCTTCACCTGATGAAGGCCGCTTGTGTTGTGGCCGAAACGTCGTGATTTTTTGTTATTTTATTTTCACCTACGTGACTTTACCCAATAGAACCAAAGAGTATCGAGACGATAGTTGAATTCATCCCAAACGCCTCTCAAAGTGAAGTCTTCTTCCACTGAAGTCACCGCTGCCGTGATTCTGTTTTTGAGGTCATCCAGATTAGTCGCTAATGGTGGCACAAAAACACGGTCTTTGACGTATCCCCTCAAGAAAAAGTCGCAGGGTGTGGTGATGTCTGGGGATCTTGGGGGCCAAGAGTTTAGCTCCAGGTCTTGGGGTCCTGTGTGACCTATCCAACGTTGAGGCGGTGTTGTCTTGCGAATGACTGAGGCTAGGGGCTGTTTGTGCGCTGGGAGAAGCATCGAGCGGTAATCATTTGAAACTCTATGCGCCGCCCTCTCTATGCCCCGCCCCTTTCAAGTGGTAAGAGTTTTATTCATGGGCGGTTCGTGGTTGCAGAGATATAGCGATTTCAATTCGGGTCCATCTCTTTTTAAACACCCTGTAATTATAGGAGCATAAGGACATTTTTTTTATTTTTTAAACATGTGTCCTATTTGAGTTGGATTAGTTCTCGCCGTATTTCAATAGACGCTGCAAGAGACGCGCGCGAACGCACATACGCACATGCGTATGTGCATTTCTCACGGAATAAAATACGGTCTGTTGGTAGACCTGGGAGTAGTAATGGACTCGACTGTCATGAGTCGAGTCCATTACGAATGCGCACCGATCACACATGGCAAGCACTTTGTAACAACACTGTTTTAGGCCCGTTGCAAAGACTGGCTGAGGACTTAAGGATTGATCTCCTGAACATCCGCCAGTAACTGCTTCCAGGTCTGCAGGCCGGAGACTGCCACACCGCGCTGCCCGTATCACTGCACGCGGCTTGTGTGTGGCTA